GCGGGGCTCGAACTCACGGACCGCGAGATCGTGACCTGGCTGAAGTCGGACGCTCAACCGACTGCGCCACCCAGGCGCCCCCCACCTCTGTATTTTGATTGATGAATCAGTTCTTCGAGAAACAGGCATTTGAATATGTCTGCTCTTAGGTCTAAAACACGAGTGAGGGCCTTCCCTGGTCCGGTCATGGCTGAAAGTGAATGTTTGTTTTTTGGTTCCAGAATTCATCCCACAGGCATTTGGAATGCCCTTATCCCAAGTCATTGCAAATGACCGGGCCTATAAACTCAAGCAGGACTCACAGAGGGACGAACAAAAGGACGCGTCCGATTTCGTGGCTTCCCTCCTCCCATTTGGAAATAAAAGACAAAACAAAGAACTCTCAAGCAGTAACTCATCTCTCAGCTCCACCTCGGAAACACCAAATGAGTCAACGTCCCCGAACACTCCAGAACCGGCTCCTCGGGCCAGGAGGAGGGTGAGTTGGCCGGTGCTTTCTCTGACACCACTGCTGAAACAACCAGAGCGTTATTCTTGGAGTCTTTGCTCATGTGAAAACTGGAAATGTAGTCCAGGTATCTGTCAACGGCCCCATTCGGGGACAATTTGCACTGGCCATAGGGCACCGGGCGCACCCTCGGAGCCTTTTCCTGACCCCTCTCAGAGCTGTGGGGGGGGCCTCCTTGGTTACCCGTGTGCCCCATGAGATCCTGAACATTCCACAGTGTCACTGTTGACCGTGCTCTAGTGTGATCTGCTGATGTACTACCGGACTTGCCCTTGAGACTGTGGGGCTTGGGGGCAGGGCCAGGTGTTCTGGTTACTCTCTCGGTCTCTAGTCCAGGAACCCACCTGGCCCAGTGGCTTGGCTACCAGTCTTCAGAAACAATGAGATTTTGTTTCATCAATGGAACTTTTTTCACTATACATATATAGATAGAGAGAACATATGTCCTCTCCAATCAGTACTGTAACAACAGGGTGCCATTTATTAATTGGCGGCTGTGTTCTAGGCACTGTGCTGTTGTTTGGGGCTTCAAACTTCATGTTTCGATCCAGGGAAGCTGAGTGTCCAGGCCAACCGGTTGGTGATTGGCTGGGTCCGTTGATAAGCGTCTCTAGAATTCCCTCGGTCACCGGTCACCGGGAGGTCTCCCCTTTTCCTCTTGCCTGGAGACCCCAAATGTGCGCCACCCCCAGCCACTCACTGCTGCCCTCGGTAAAAGCCCCAACACTCCCCACTTAAAATCCACGTTCGAGACCTCTCCAAGATCAAGGGGGTGCCTGGGCCTCTGCTCTTCTCAAGGCTCCAGCTACGTTTGCAGATGAGGCAATGACACCATTGTCGTTCTTCCAGCTTTATCACTGTCCCTCAGATTGCATGTTGGGTGGCAGTAACACCTGAGCTCCACGATGGAACTTTCGGGGAATCTGGGGCCCAGGCAACGGGCCTGCCCGATGCCCTCTCCTCTGTCCAGGCCTTGCCGGGACACCGGCTGCGGACTCCTTCCTCTGTGCTTCATCGAAGGCCGGGGGGCTGTACCGACGTGGCTGGTGTGCTACTCCCCTATGCTCAGCCCTCACCCTTCCCAACATGGCGGCCCTCCTCCCACCCACCAGCACCCCATCTCCGCCAAAGGCTCTCTCTGATGGCCAGAGGCACCCACCCATGCAGATGACAGGCTGCAAGTGCCGAGATGTCAACGTCGCCTCCCTGCCCCTACCGGGAGTTACCCTTAATCAATGACTCTTGAGGCTTGTGGTATAAATAGCCCAGCTCACTCGCTCCCTAGCATGGTTACCTCTGAGATGCTTGACCTCCATGGTCTCCCAGTCGTCCCCAGGGCCTGGGGCACGAGCTGCCCCCGGGCTCGTCATAGGCTTAGTGGCGCTTCTCATCCGCCGCCCTCCCTTCCCGCTCTCATTTCCTCACCCCTGCAGCCGTCTCCGGGAACCACTTCCCTGATAAAGCCCTTTATGCCATTTCTGGGGGGACACAACACTAAGGCCATCCCATGGAATCCAGTTTTAAAACTCTACCCCCTAGAGTCATAGTTGCGATCTTCTTTTCACTCCCAAGGCTCCTCTCACTTGACCTCATTCATCGAGTATGTGATTCTTCTCTTGTTCCAAGGCATGAAGTGTCTTCCATTTGGAAAATGTTGTGTGTCGAAATTTTGACTGCCATTACCTGGCCCTATGTTGTGGTAGTTTCCTAACTTTTTCGAAAGGTGTTTGCTGCTTTCCGTCTAACGTACAAACAGCATGATTCAACCAAGCGGCGCTCTTGTAAGTGTGACAGGCAGTCATGGGCAAAAGCGTTATTGGAGAGCCTCTGAGGGAAGCTGTTTTCATTTTCCCCGTCTGCACTCTTTGTTCATGGCTGTGTATAATTTGCAGGGTGCGATGTCAGTGGATTCTATCACAGATCTTGACGACAGTCAGTCTCGACTACTAGAAGCTTTACAACTCTCCTTGCCTGCGGAGGCTCATAGTAAAAAAGAGAAAGCCAGAGATAAGAAACTGAGTCTGAATCCCATTTACAGACAGGTCCCCAGGCTGGTGGACAGCTGCTGTCAGCATCTAGAAAAACACGGTAAGCAGATTTGTCTGTCAGTGATCATGTATGAGAGACTTTCATTTATTCAAGCATCATGGATTTAAGCGCCCAAGTTCAGCGCTTTAGTCGTCTGATCAGACTCTGGGCTGACGTATCCTTACAGATCTGAGTGTGTGCCTAAAAGGGTACTGGGCTGAACAAGGTTGTGGGGGACAAAAATCAACTTGACAGTGTTGAGGCCGCCCAACGCCCAGTGGTCCTCAGAAGTGAACCTGGAGGCCAAGTATCTTAGGGGAGGCCAAGATCTGTTGGGCTGGGTCTGTTCCCAAGCCTCCCTTCAAACAGAGCACAGCCACTTTTATCTTTTTCATGCATTGAGGTTACTAACAAGGCTTCCTTAAAAAAAATAAGAGTCCAGCTTCAAACAAGCAAACAAAGAAACAAACAAACAAAAAGATTTGCAAACCATTTCTTACATGAATAGAAAATACATGGTTTTTGGCAACAGCTTTCTATATGGCTATTTGTGTTTTTGTGGGAAGATGTCCACTTCAGATCCTTCACAATGACCCTTTTGGCAACTCAACTCCAGGTAATATGTTGACTTAAAAACAATATAGCCTTCTTCAAAAATTTTTCTGAAATGTAGGCTTTTGGCCCATTGAACTGCCATCTCCGTAATCTGAATGTGTTTCCTATAGTGTTCGCATGCGTTTTGTGGACATGAGATAAGTTCATTGTTTCCAGTAAAACTGGGACTTTATAAAAAAATTATTAAGGGGATTTCTAAATGTCTTAATCACTAGGTAACATATCGATGACTTAATAAAACTGATACATATTGAAGCTTTCTTTGTCTATACAGAATTTTTATATGTACGTGTGTGTGTGTGTGTGTGTGTGTGTGTGTGTCCGTATGTCTCTTCTCCTGGGAAGGTAAGCTGGAGGTCAAGGAAAATTTCTTAGTCATTTTGAATTCCCAGCACTTACTATCACGGTTAATACAATGTAGGTGTCCAATAAATATTACTTGCATGGAATTATTTTTAAAAATAGCTTAGCAACTAAAGAATTCAGTACAGCAAATATGCAAATTCAGCCAAAATTTCACTAGGAGGTAGAAAAAGCGACTCATACTTTTATAATTACAGTTTTCACCTGTAAAAAGCATCGAGAGTGAACTGTAAGCATTTTAAAGAGTCCTAAGTGAGAATTGTACTCCAATCATTTAAACTCTAGGGCCAGGTTGAGTAACTGCTTATGTGGAAGAAAGAAAACTTTGTTTTTCTATTTTGTTTTTTAAAATAAATTGTCATGAATTATAATTTGAAAAATAGCCTTTCCTTTAAGCTTACTAAAAAACTGGACAGGGCTTCCTTTTTTGGAATAGTTAACATGCAGCGTAGGGCCTAAAAGAGACAAGATTATCCTGGGTGATCTCTCAAGGCCCTGATTCCGTTTCTGGTTTCCGTGGTATTTAGCTCCAGAAAAGAGACGTGTTCAGATGCAAACGGATATTAATCTTGGTCCCTTAAAACCAATGAAAAAAAGAGCAAACCATAAAAACAATTCTTGGGGCGCCTGGGTGGCGCAGTCGGTTAAGCGTCCGACTTCAGCCAGGTCACGATCTCGCGGTCCGGGAGTTCGAGCCCCGCGTCGGGCTCTGGGCTAATGGCTCAGAGCCTGGAGCCTGTTTCCGATTCTATGTCTCCCTCTCTCTCTGACCCTCCCCCGTTCATGTTCTGTCTCTCTCTGTCCCAAAAATAAATAAACGTTGAAAAAAAAAAATTTAAAAAAAACAAAAAAAAAACAAAAAAAAAACCAATTCTTTCATAAGACTCTATCTGCCAGTTTGGGAAATGGGTAGCAGAGAGTATGATCCACTTTAGCCTTATAAACTTTTGTCAAAGATCTATTCATTCCCTCCGAAATTGGGCTTGGACAATGACCTTGACTCCATCCATGTCTGTGTGCGCCACCCTTTCCCTTGCGCCCAGATGCTTTCTATACTATATGCTCAGACGTCACTCCTCATCGGGGAAATACAAATCAAAACCACACTGAGATACCACCTCACGCCGGTCAGAGTGGCTAAAATGAACAAATCAGGAGACTATAGATGCTGGCAAGGATGTGGAGAAACGGGGACCCTCTTGCGCTGTTGGTGGGAATGCAAACTGGTGCAGCCGCTCT